CGCTGCCTAAAATGTGCATTCTGACTAACACGTAGCAGGATGCCTAGAACCTGTGGCACACGCATCAGCAACAGCAGAGAGTGAGTCTGGGCCATAGGGGGGCTGGAGGTACAAAGGGGCAAGTGTGCTGAGTCTGTCCTACCATCTGGGCCTGCTGGCCACCTGGCCCCATCCAAGTGCAGCCCCACGTTCTTCTGGTACCAGATTCAAGGTCAATTTCATGCTCCACAGGGAGGGTTGGAGCCCGTTCTTTTCCCTCTGGTGACAGGGGCTTTTATCCAGAGGCACAGACCCACAGAGAGTGGATAAAGCACACCCAAGCTTTAATGCCACGTCTGTTCCCACTGCCAGCCTCAAGGGAGAAGAAATGGGGAGGAGTCTTAGCCAAAGAGGAGGGGGAGGTTTATTCCCTTGCTCCATGTGTGATTTCAGGGGCAGGACAGGTGGCCCTGAGCCTACAGTTCCTCAAGGAACCAAGTCCCATCTCATCAGGCTGGAGGGGAGAGAGCTCTGTGGTTAGCGGCCCAGGGCGTACATAGCCGTGTCCCAGAGGCACGTCTTGCTGTTTTAAGCTCTCCTGGAGTTGGCCGTAGAACCCTCCTTAAGGGCAGTTGGGGCTCATCCCGACTGCCAGTAGAGTAGACCTCTTGGTGAGGCCAGGCACACTGGTCACATGGAGGCTGACCAGCCATTGGCTTCAGCTGCCCTGGACCATCAGGAGGCCAAGTGTTCCCAGTGGGGCCTCCTCCGAAGCAACACCAGCACACATTTCAAAGGAAACTTGGTGCCTAAATTCACACTCTTGTGTTAAGTCTGGGCCTGCAGGCGGGAGCTACTTGAAGAGACCACCTGGTGACCAAAGAAACTGTCACTTCAAACCACGGCTGGCCTGAGGGGTTCCCAGGCCCCAGGGGGAATTTTACCAGCCACCTCCACCAACACCCCTTCTCCGGGCTGCTTTCAGTCCTGCAAATATCTGAGGGCCTTGAGGTCCTTTCTGTTTGGTTAGAAATTAGGGGAACATCTTTGACATGGAGGAGAATGACCCCAATCCTTCCTCCCCATGCTGACCCTCAGCTTCATCCCAGAGGGACAGTCCCCGCTAGAAAGAGCCACAGCGCTGCCCACCGTAGCTCTCCTGGCGTTTCGGAGGCTTCAGTGCAGCGAGGGTGACATTCCTGGCCAGAGCCCACCTGGCCTGTAGGATACACCCCTCTCCCTTCCCCAGCTGGCCTCACAGGCCTCCTGGGACCAGAAGGGATTAGTTTCCTGGAAAGAGATCTGAAACTGGAATTCTTCTGCCTTCAAGCCACAGAGGATGGACTGTGGTTACCGGGACCCCAGAGCCTTCTCAGTGTCTGAGGGCCCTTTTTCTTACGTGACGCATCAGACCTTACCTGTGGACTGGGGAGAGCCTTCTCTGTGGGTCTGCCTTTGAAATCGACTTCTCTGAACTGGAGGAGAAGGACCAATACCCTCAGATTCCACTGATGCAAATAGCAAATGTCCGTTTGAGCAGTGGCTCTGCCCACCCTCCTGGCAGGTTTGAGTGTCAGGTCCCAACTTAAACCGGCCAACAGCTTCTTATTCCCTTCTTATTGGCAAAGGTGTCACTTCTCGGAGTCACTTGAGAGAAGGTTTGGTTGGAATCACTTAGTCTCTTCATGTCGAGCCAAAGACTGAGTTTAAACCCGTGGTCATTAAACCAAATGCGTTATTGTCTCCCCTCAGGACTTTGAGTGTGGGCAGCTTCCCCAGAGCCCTCCTGCCAGCCAGCCCCAAGGAGTGAGAGTGCTGCAACTTCATGCACAGCTGGGCTGCCCCCAGACCCTGGAAGCCCCTCCCATCTGCTTAGGAGTGTGGCTGACAGGGAGCCCCGCTGGCTGATGGGAGGGCCCAGAAGGGGTGGGTGGTCTGAGGCCATGTTCTGCTTTGCCTCTGACCCCATCCTCTGGGAAGGTTTCCCAGATGACCCCTGCCCCCCAGCAATGATCCCCCCCTCTCTCTGAGCCCAGTGGCTCAGGGCCCTGAGCTGCAAAATCTCCTATATAAGTTCTGTCTGCCTCTGCTGGAGGGTCTTGGTGCGAGGTCAGCCCACGGCTAGGGTCACACCTCAGGGGACTCCTGGGAGATGGGGGTGGGTGACGGCAGCACAGGTGGCCCAGACACCCCACCACCTCCAACCGTACTTACTCTAGACCCACCCAACCTGGTGTAAATCCCCTCTCTGCCGCTTGTTGGCTGGGTGACCTTGGGCAAATGTCTTAACCTTGCTGAACCTCAGTTTCCTCATCTGTGAAATGAACATCATAATAGTATCCACCTCACAGAGCCAGAAGGAATATTGAATGAAAGGATGTGTTGGCCTCAATAGATGGAAACCGTTGCTACCCATTATATTACTTATATTGGTTTTAAATATTGGGCCTATAGAAACATTTCATTTGGTGGAGGAGAAAGAAATTTGCTGATAAAAAAGTTTGAGAGCCATTGAGTTCCATCCATCCAGCTCAATTTATACATCATCTGTAGCCAAGAGAGGCAAAGGAACTTTTCTGTGTGGATATGACCTTATTTATGTCTTACTGGAGAAAAAGTGCTTTGAGGTCAAGGACCACCCTGGCTTCACGTTTTAACACCCCTCCCCGTGCATGTGCCCAACACCAGGCCGGGCCACTGCGCGTGAGGGTGGGTCCTCCCTGGCTGAACTCCATGACAAAGTGTGTGTCTGAGTGCATACAGGTGGCAACTCGGGTGCCTTTCTGAGGTCCCAGAAATGGTTCTGTTTCTCCCCATGGCATGCCCACCTAGCGTCTCTGCGCTTTGCTGACTCACGGCAGGGTTAAGGCCACACCCTGGCATACTGTGTTTCATCTTGCTTACTAACAACTATATGCGGGGCACCAATTCTGTGCCAGGCACGGGGCCCTTCAAACCAAAACTGCCCCAGCCGTCAGGTCTCTTTCTGAAGCCAGTTCACCCGTGGCCTCGGTGGCTTGTGCTAATATTTGATTGCTTTGAAGTAGCCTGGAATCGTTGATCCCCAAGAGACAGCTGCCAGGATTCGAAGCAAGTTCCCCAAGTCTCAGAAGCAAAAATGACCAACCCCCAATTGTCAAATCTTGAAGGGCCTGTAGGGCATCTCTGGAGCTGTTCCCTCCTGTTACAGAGGAGGAGATGGAGGCATGAAATGGCCAAGGGCAGAGGGCAGAGCAGAGCTCGGGACTTCTTCCCCAGCAGTGAGGATCCTTTCTGCAAAGCGCGCCGCAGTTGCTCCAGAAGCCAGCGCTCTGCTTGTCGCTCTCCTGATGTCTCGTTCATTGAGTTTTGTTGTTGTTGTTGTTGTTTTGCGGTACGCGGGCCTCTCGCTGCTGTGGCCTCTCCCGCCGCGGAGCACAGGCTCCGGACGCGCAGGCTCAGCGGCCACGGCTCACGGGCCCAGCCGCTCCGCGGCATGTGGGATCTTCCCGGACCGGGGCATGAACCCGCGTCCCCTGCATCGGCAGGCGGACTCTCAACCCCTGCGCCACCAGGGAAGCCCTTGTTCATTGAGTTTTTAGTGTGGGGAGAGGGGGATGGTCCAGGGCAAAGTGGGATGGAAGGTGGGGCGAAGGTGCCGCCCCCCAGGATTGGCGACAGCAGCCCTGGGGAGATGCGCTCTGAGTCTGCGGGGTCGTGTGATGGGCTTTGCCTGCGCTTGGGTGTGCAGGCGGCATATACTGGCACAGCGGCCGCCCCCAACACACACACCTGAGGCCTCCCCCGCTCAGGGGCTAAGTGAAAGCCTGCAGAGAGGACCAGAGAGGAGAGGACCAGGCTAGGGGAGAAAGGAAGAAGGAAAGAACTCAGGAATGGGGGCATTCAGAACACTGGGGAGATTTCATTCACCAGAGCCATGCCAGGCTGCTGTGGGCACCCCCTCCAGCCCCAGAATCAAACCCCCCAGAGACACCACCCGGTGGGCTTAATCAGCCCCCAAGTTACAGTTCAATAGCTGGGAAGAGAAAGCAAGCCTTTCAGGTTTCAGCATCTTTAGGGGGAGAAAGATGTGTGTTTTGGAGCCCACTCCTGGCAGTTTTCTCTGTTATCCCTGTAGTTGATTACAGACCCACCTGGTGAGTAAAGAGCCGGCAGACGGTGAATGAAGCGGGGAGGGGGAGGGGTGGCCGGGCTGCCTCTGGCTGTCTCTGCACCTTCCCAAGGGGGCTGCTGCTCCTGGGTAGGACCAGAACCTCTTGGAACTGTCCCTTCGAACTTGAAACATTCAGGCCAGGCAGCTTAACTGGAAGGAGAACGAAATGACAGTGCTGACATCTATTGCACGCTTTCTGCTGCCTGCCAGGATCCGGGCCAAATGCTTGACCCAAAGGCTTCATTGATTAATTCCTGGAGGAACAATTATTACTGACCATCCTCCTGATAACAGCCAGGCTGTACCAAGACCAGGGTCCCAGAGCTACAGCGGCGGATGTGGGAGTGGCATGCAGACCTACCAACGCCGAGGCCGTGCCGGTGTCACATCCCTCCCCTTGCCGCTGAGCCGTCCGTCCACCTGCCCCTTTCCCTAGTCCAGACCCTTTCACACATGGCCTCGAGGCCGGGCAGGGGGCCGTCTCATGTCTGCCCTTTGGGGACGCAGCCCCCCACCCCAGTGGCTAAGGGACTGGGGCCCCTCCGAGGGGCTCCCTACACTGTGAGGCTCACACCTCCCACTCGGTTCTGACCGCAGTCCAGGACGCAGGGATGTCGTGATCCATGTTGCAGAGCGGGGCTCAGAGGAGCCACGTAGCCTTACGAGGTCACACGCGGTGTCCGTGGCAGAGCCCGAAATCTGACCCTGAGTCCCGGCTGGTTCACCACCTTCCAGCCCAGCCACCTTGCCAGACTGCCTACCACGGTGCAGGGGCCCAGGACCAGGTGTGGGTAGGAGGGGCCCCCGAGGCCACCTGGCGCCCTGCCCCCTCCCTCACTGATACCTCCTTTCCTCTTCCTCCCTGCAGTCCCCAATTTTCATCGCCCAAGTTGGCCGGGACCTGGTCTCCCAGACGGAGGAGAAGCTCCTTCAGAAACCCTGCAAAGAACTCTTTTCTGCCTGTGTGCAGTAAGTGCTCCGGCCGCCGGCCTCCCTCCCTGCTTCCCGGCCCGGGGCATCAGGCCCCACCACCTCCCCTCGGGCCGCCACACAGTCACCAGGCAAGGGGCTGCCTCTAGCCTCCACCTGAGCGCTGGGCACCCAGGGCAGGTCTTCAGTGCCTGAGGGCCCAGCCAAGCCACCCAGCTTGTACACTTCTCATGAAGGGAAAAGATACCAGGGTGCCAAGTCCAAAGAGAACATCTGCTTCAGATGGCGTCGAAAGCAAGTAGCTCTCCAGGCTGTGGAGACAGAGGAATGTGCACGGATCTGACCCAGTCTGGGTGGTTTGGAAATCCTTCCCAGGTCCCTCCCACGCCCACTCCTGCCCCCGTCACTGCCACCCGCCAGCGCTGCTGCAGGAGCTGGGCTGCAGGCTGCCCTCTCAGCCACACCCCATCACCTTGTTGCAGGCTGTACGGCAACCATAATGGGACGTGAGACAAGTCAGTGGGTGTGGGGCGAGCCGTGCACCCATTAAGCGCCACCATGAAGGCTTAGGCAGCTAGGCTCACACCCGTTCCTGCGCCCACACACGCACCCTCCCTGTAGGCTGACGTGCAGCCGCACGAACATACGTACGTGCCAAGATCACAGCTGGCGTGACGGCACAGTGTTCAAACTCTGCACCCCAGACATTAGTTGAGCGCCTGCTGTGTGCCTGGCACGATGCTGCGTGGGGGAGGCCTTGCGAGCAAGAACCCAGTCCTGCCTCCACGGCTTATTGCCAGCGCCCCATGCGCTCACCATGGGAAGAGCTGGGACATTCAGGGGCACCAACGTGGGGCCCAGCCCTGTGGCAGTTGCTGGAGAGGGCCCTCCGTGAGCAGAAACAAGCCTGGTTGCTGCCCTCCTGGAGATGTCCGAGGGTCAGCTCTGACGGCGGGTGAGGTCCCTGGGCTGCCCCCTGACCTTGAGGGAGTGGCCGTCCTGGCCCCCGACGCCAGCCCCTGTTCAGGTTTGGCAGGGCACAGCCTCCAACGAGCCCCAGCTCTGCGTGTCGCCTCCCTTCCCCAGGTCCCAAGTGTCTGGGCTCGACTGGTCAGCGTGGCCGCTTTTTAAAGGGAAGAAGCCCAGTTCAGAGCCCTCCAGGGCCTGGCCTAGAGCCTGGCCCACAGCAGGTGACCAGTAAATTCTGCTGCAGGGTTGAAAACCTCCCAGGGGCTTCACTGGTCCCGACCAAATCTAGGGCCTGCGCCCCTCTGCCCCTTCCCAAGACACCCAATCCCTCCATTGCACATAGTTAAATATTCCTCTGTTCTCATCTCAGCTCCTGTCCCTTCTTCAGAGAGATCTCCCTGACACCCCCCGGGACCTCGCTTACCCCACTTCACGATAACATGCCCCTGGGGTCGTTTATTTGTTTGTTATTTGCCGTGTGTGTCCCCCATCATGCTCCCTGCTGTATCCCAGAACTAGAGCAAACCCCCAAGGCAACTACTTACTAAAGGTTTGCAGGGTCAGTCAATCTCAAACAACCTTTGTAGAATGGTGGAGCCTCTCTCCACTCCTGCTGCATCTGTCGGAGGCCCCTGTGTATTTGCATTTCCAAAGTCTGGAAGTGGATGAGGCCGGGCTATAATCTGCTGGTTATGGCTCTGCCCACCTGCTCCAAGGTCAGGGTTGTAAAACGTTCATCTGTTTGTTCCCTCTGAGCTAGGTCTGTCCATGACTACCTGAGGGGAGAACCCTTCCACGAGTACCTGGACGGCATGTATTTTGATCGGTTTCTCCAGTGGAAGTGGTTGGAAAGGTGAGTGCTCCCTGGGCTCAGCCCCCCGACACACACACACACACACACACACACGCACACACACACGCACACACACACACACACACGAGTGTGTGCCAGTGTGTGTGTGCGTGTGTGTGTGTGTGTGCGCGCGGGGGGTATTGGTTTTTCACCTAAGTCCTATAGAAGTCTGTTACGTCCCATGGGCCCATGGTTCAGATAAAATTCAGCGTTCTCTGCCTGTTAATTAAGTTCTTGTGTATTCTAGAAATGCTGTGTGCTTATTAACATCACACACACACACGCTCGTGCAGACACACGCATACACTCAGCCTCCTGTTCTTACTTTTTGGGGTCACCGTCTTCGGGAATTCTTTCTCTGCCAGCAAATAAAGAGCTGCCATATTCTTTTTTTTTTCTTTTTTAACATCTTTATTGGGGTATAATTGCTCTACAACGGTGTGTTAGCTTCTGCTTTATAACAAAGTGAATCAGTTATACATATACATATGTTCCCATATCTCTTCCCTCTTGCGTCTCCCTCCCTCCCACCCTCCCTATCCCACCCCTCCAGGCGGTCACAAAGCACTGAGCTGATCTCCCTGGGCTACGCGGCTGCTTCCCACTAGCTATCTACCTTACGTTTGGTAGTGTGTATATGTCCATGCCTCTCTCCCGCTTTGTCACAGCTTACCCTTCCCCCTCCCCATATCCTCAAGTCCATTCTCCAGTAGGTCTGTGTCTTTATTCCTGTCTTACCCCTAGGTTCTTCATGACATTTTTGTTTTCTTAAATTCCATATATATGTGTTAGCATACGGTATTTGTCTTTCTCTTTCTGACTTACTTCACTCTGTACGACAGACTCTAGGCCTATCCACCTCATTACAAATAGCTCAATTTCATTTCTTTTTATGGCTGAGTAATATTCCATTGTATATATGTGCCACATCTTCTGTATCCATTCATCTGATGATGGGAGCTGCCATGTTCTTAGAAAGATTTACACATCCCTCATGTAACCCAGCCCCCTATTGATGGACATGGAGGTTTCCCTCAATTTTGTGTGCAGCCTTCCCGAAGTAGTGAATAACTTTGTACATACATCTTTATTTTTGCAAATACATCCATAGAAATTCCTAGCAGATGGGAATTCCCTGGCGGTCCAGTGGTTAGAACTCGGTGCTTTCACTGCTGGGGTCTGGGTTCAAGCCCTGGTCGGGGAACTAAGATCCCTCAAGCCACTCAGCGCGGCCACAAAAGAAAAAAAAGAAAAAAGAAAGAAAGAAATTCCTAGCAGAGGAATTCCAGGGGCAAGCTTTTCCGCTGTGAGGGACTGCTAGATTGCCCCCCCCAAACTGCTGCCCGATTCCCAGTCCTGCCAGTGCCCAGGCGCCCGCTTGTCCTCAGATTCAGCAGCACTCTTCTTCGTGCGTGAGAGCCGGGTTTCCTTCTTGTTTATCTCTTCACCTCTAATCACGGGTGAGACCGAGCATCTTTTCATGTGTTCCATTTGCCGCCTCATTCTCTGCAAAGTGCTCTCACACACACGGTGATGACTTGGCCGGGCAGAGGTGACCTCCGTGTGACTGACGAGGAAGGAGAGGCAGGGAGGATGTGGCTTGCTGGGTCACCGGCAGGGATTAGTGCAGCCAAGGAGGGGCCCCTGGCCCAGGACCCCCAGAGCGGAGCTCTGCCCACCACAGCGTCCCAGGATTTGCAGGAGAGGGCAATGCTTACATTAAATCCATGCTGGGTTAGCTGGTAGGTGAGGGTGGGAGTTTCCCCTCCCACTGCCCAAGGTTCCTGTGCCCCAGGGGCCTGGCACTCACTGCCATCTGGGTATCTGGGCCGTGGTCAGAAAGCAAGGAGCCCTTCTGCTCCTGCATGTATATCGGCATCTGTGCTGGCCAAGTCCCCTGCAGACGCTTAGGACACATACCTGTGGGACATGAACCCCCGAAAAGCCGAATTCACAGCACTCCCTGCCCACTTCAGGAAGCCCTGAGGAAACACCCTGCCCTGTAGCCTCTGGGGGACGTCTCTCTCCACCCTGACCCACGGGGGTGACAGAGAGAGCAGTGGACGGTCTTCTCTGTTGGTGCACTGCCTGCCACTGGCCGCCTTGCCCGTGCACATCATGCCTCCAGGAGATGGAAAAGCCAAGCGTGGGCCACCAGGGGCCCACAGCCTGGGTCTGAGTCCCAGCTCTGCCTCCTCCCTAGGGGCTGGGGGAGGGATGCTCTCCACATCTTGGTTTCCTCACCTGTAATGTGGGGATAATAACACTGCCTGCCTTATAGGCATGGGGTGAGGGTGAGGTGAGATAGCACCGCACACATCAACAAAGCCAGCCTTTGGGCCTTGGGAAGTAAACTGCTGAATGTAATTGTTGGGATGAGTCGTCACTGAGCACATCGGCATCACCATTGCCGTCTCCTCCCCCTTCTGATATTGGAGGGAGCAGCTGACCCTTGCGGAGGACAGTCTGGTGGGGAGGTATTCATCTTGCCCCACCTGCCACTCTGGAGCCCTGGGCTGTGTAACACAACCCCACCTTCCTGGGGTGGCAGAGTCAGGACACCGAAAGTGGGCTCTGCAGCAGGCTTCCTGGACTCCACTTCCAACCCAGCTACTTACCAGCCGTGACCTTGGGCATCTCATTTCACCTCTCAAAGCCTAAGCGTTCTCATCTGCAGAATGAGGACAGTAATAGTCTCACCTCCTGAGGCTGGTGTGAGGATTACATGAGTCTATGTATAAGCTGCTTCAAGCAATGGGGATTGTTACCGTAGAGACCCCCAGAAGGGGCTGTGTCCTTTATCCCAAGAGTTCTAATAATGACATCTGACACTCAGCAGCTTACAAAAAGTCTTCAGATGCATATACCCTTTTACTGAAGATGCAAGGCTCAGAGAGGTTGATGGGTTGGCCCTGGGTCACACAGCGATGGCCTGGCAAGGGTGGAGCCTGAAGCCCAGGTCCCTCACTCAAGTCCTTCACTCTTAGCCCACCCAGCACTCCTGTTCCAATGGAAGCCTTTAGCTGTGGCCACTGGCTTTCACTTTACTTGTCAGTACCAAACACATGAGATGGAGAAATGGACTTTTAAAAGCTGCATGCTGACTTCAAAGAAGTTATGCCCTTTTGAGGGCGTTAAGCTGTTGAAGCCAGCAGGGCAGGACCCTGGCCTAGAAATGCCCTAAATGACTGACAGCACCCCGCCTTCCCCCCACTCCCTTTTTTTTCTTGCTAAAAGGATCATGGCCTGTTGGTGCTGTACTGTTGAAATATTAAAGGGATTTTTTTTCCCTCCCAAGGTTAACCGAGAAATTCCTCGGAAATTGTATTACACTCATTTCCCCCAGCAGAGGAGCTCTGCGGTAATGTCGACCGACTGTTTGTTCTCCGCGTATCGTAAACTGTTAGGCCTGGACGCCTTCATGTGGTTTCGAGGGCAGCTGGAAGAAACGCTTCCCAGGGCCACATGGCAGATGCAGGCGCATGGCACGTTTGCTCTAGGCCGGCTACTCATGTGTAAGATGCAGAGCAAGGGGGAGTTCTACCCAGGGGCAGCCTGGGCCCCGCTTCCTAAAGAAACACCGGAGAAGAGAGAGTGAGTCGAAGCACATGAATTCAAGACAGGCGTGCCAGGGAGTGCTCCGGAGGTTTCAGGGCTGTCCTAAGAGAACAGAGTGGTGCCGAAGCTGTGATTTCTGGTGAATCCCAAATCCTCTTCAGGACCCAGCAGCGAGAAGAGTTTCCACGGAAGATTCATTCAACAGCTGCTGGGCGACCAGAGGCTCACTGCTCTTTCTCGAGCAAAACCAGTTCTTTGGCCCAATTCAGTCTCACACCAATCCCCGCCCTGGTTAAGACTCTTGGGGTGGGGTTGGGGGATGCTCAAAAATAGTCCTAGAGGGGCTTCCCTGGTGGCGCAGTGGTTGAGAGTCCTCCTGCCGATGCAGGGGACACGGGTTCGTGCCCCGGTCCGGGAAGATCCCACATGCCGCAGAGCGGCTGGGCCTGTGAGCCATGGCCACTGAGCCTGCGTGTCTGGAACCTGTGCTCCACAACAGGAGAGGCCACAACAGTGAGAGGCCCGCGTACCACACACACACAAAAAAAAATAGTCCTAGAGAGCCAAGAACCAATTTTAACGTCGTAAAAGCTGCTTGTTCTTATCTGTGAATCAACTGATGAACATTTAGGTTGTTTCCATGTCTTGGCTATTGTGAATAATTCTGCAATGAATGTAGGAGTAAAATATTTAACGTTTATAAATGGACCATTACTCAGCCTAAAAAAGAAGGAAGTCCTGCCATTTATGACAACGTGGATGGACCTGGAGGTCGTTGTGCTAAAGTGAAATAAGCCAGACACAAAAAACGAGTACTGCATGACCTCACTTACATGTGGGATCTAAGATATTCAGACCCATAGAAGTAGAGAGCAGAGTGGTGGCTGTCGGGGGGGGGGAGGGCTTGGAGAAATGGGAGATGTTGGTCCAGGGCACAAGGTTTCAGTTATGCAAGATGAATAAGTTCTGGGGATCTCCTTTACAACATGGGGACAGTAGTTAACGGTACTGTATTATTTACTTAAAATTTGCTGAGTGGGTAGATCTTAAGTGTTCTTGGAAGAAAGGAAGGAAGGAAGAAAGTACGGAAAAAAGGGAGGGAGGGGGGAATGTTAATTTTGTGAGGTGACAGAATGTTAATTAGCTTGATTGGGTAATCATTTCACAATGTATACATATATCAAAACATCAAGTTGTACACTCTTTGTCAATTATACCTCACTAAAGCCGAAAAGAAGAGGGGGGAAACCTGATTTTCCTTAGCCAAACAGGCCAGCGATGAAAAAGCACACACTGTCTGCAAGGTGGAGTCCTTTGCTGCAACTAAATGGCCATTTACTTATTTACCCCACAAGTCCCATCCTTGGCTCCCGATCAGAGGCTTGTCTCATTAGACATTATAAATGGCTTTGGTGGGACTTCCCTGGTGGCGCAGTGGTTGAGAATCTGCCTGCCAATGCAGGAGACACGGGTTCGAGCCCTGGTCGGGAAAGATCCCACATGCCGCGGAACAACTAAGCCCATACGCCATACCAACTGAGCCTGCAATCTAGAGCCCGCGAGCCACAACTACTGAGCCCGCGTGCCACAACTACTGAGCCTGCGTGCCACAACTACTGAAGGCCACGCGCCTAGAGCCCATGCTCTGCAACGAGAGAAGCCCGCGCACCGCAACGAAGAGTAGCCCCCTGCTCGCCGCAACTAGAGAAAGCCCGTGCGCAGCAGTGAAGACCCAACGCAGCCAAAAATAAATAAATATTTTTTAAAGAATGGCTTTGGCTAATTAAAATGGGGAGTCGGGAGACACAAAAAGATTAGTCATAAATACGGCTTTTGGCAGACAGGATCTTCTCGTGTTCTGGGGCTCAGGGGGGTTACATATAGCACAGCGCCCTCGGTGGCGGGAAGCCTGGGAACTGCCGTGAGAGAGTAACCAGACTGGACCTGGGGACCAGCAGTCTCTGCCCACAGGAGGCCGGGTCTTCCCGGGGCAAGTCTGCAGGAAGGAAGAGCTCGGGCGCCCCAGGACGGGAGGTGCAGCCGTCCTGCCCTCCTGCCGTCCTGCCTGCAGGTGTGGGAGAGAGGGCTGCGGTTTCCTTTGTGGCCTCCGTGGGACACCAAGCCTCTGTGGCTCCTGGCCCCCTCCCCTCTCCCTGCACGGAGGACACAGCTTCCTCCTGAGTTTAGCCGCATGATTTGCATTTGGGAGAGAGAGGGGAACCACAGGGAAAGTGTGGTGAAGCAGCCTCCGCTCAGCTCTTCCCTCCCAGTGCCGTCCTGAGGGCGGCAGCCTGGGATTTGAACACCCGGCCGCAGCCCCAGAGCAAGTCCTCGAGGGTCCCGTCTGCAGCGATGGTTCCAGGGGTCCCCGGGGCCTGGTCTGGCCCTTGGTGCCTGGCGCTGGCTCTTTTCAATGCTGCCCTTGTCTGTTTCTTCTGGATTCTGCATCTTAATACTACCAGTCCCATGTTGGATTTTTGCTTTTTTCCAGGCAACCGGTAACCAAAAACACTTTCAGGCAGTACCGAGTACTAGGAAAAGGGGGCTTTGGGGAGGTAAGTGAATATCCACGTATTCATGAAAAGTTTCTGGACTCTGGTCACCTTTTCTGTCCCTTCGGGCTTGGCCTGAAGTGTTCTAAGCATGGCTTCTGAGCGAATGGCTTGGTCACGTGCCCCCGATGGAGAAGGAGGGTGAGGCCGGGGCCTTGAGAAGGTCTGCTGTGTCTGAGGTGAGGAAGGAGGGTGTGTGTGGCAGGGCAGCTGAGCTGGAGCCAGCCTCAGGCAGGAGTCACGCCTGGAGAGGAGAAACGGGCCCTCTTGATTGTGTTTGGAGGGAGAAGGGAGGGCGTGAGGGGCTGAAGCATCCTGGCCACACCATGCTGTTAGTATGCGCTGTTGTACTTAATCTGATCTTCCCAAGCCTTGTTATTCCCACTTTAGAGATGAGGAAAGCTGAAGTTCACAATGGTTAGGTGACCCAGGCAAGGTCACACAGCTGAATAGGGGCAGAACTAAGACCAGACCCAAATGCCCTGGTTTCCATTCCTCTGAATTATACAGTCTGGGTTCGCAGGGATCTCCCATCCCTCCCCTCCGAAACAAGCCTCTCCTACCAGCAGCTGGTGCTTGCAAGTCCCCGGTTATCAATGGCTACATCTGGCTGGAAGCTTGGGACAGAGAAGATCTAGTTGCCCCTGAGAGAGGAACAGTTCTTTAGGCCTCAGCCAGCCATCTAAACGTTGGTGTAAGTGGCTGATTCTGCACCTCCAAGGGCTAGGATCTGCCTAAGGTGCCGCCAAAGCCAGATCTCAAGGGCAGGGCCCTGGGAGCAGTGGGTCCACGGCCAGGCATCCTCCAAGCCCCAGAGACACAGCATCCCGGCCTTGAGGGAGCTTCACTCTGGCCCTGTTTCACGTGCCGTGTGCCCTTGGCTTCCTTCTTGCCCCTCAGGTCTGTGCCTGCCAGGTTCGGGCCACGGGTAAAATGTATGCCTGCAAGCGCCTGGAGAAGAAGAGGATCAAAAAGCGGAAAGGGGAGTCCATGGCGCTGAATGAGAAGCAGATCCTGGAGAAGGTCAACAGTCGGTTTGTGGTGAGTGTCAGGGCCCCAGGGACAGGCCCCCTCCTGGTGACTGGGACTTCTGTCCCTTAAGTGTGACAGGTCCCCATCCCCCAGGGCATGGGATGCAGTGAGGGGGGGGTGCTGCAGAAAGGAGCCCGACACTCCCTCCATCACGAGGCACCTGGGGGTCAGCTGGGGCTGACAGTGGTCCCCAAGCTAGCCTGGCTCCCCTCTGGGCGTGAGACCAGGCTTCTCTGAGCGCCTCCGTGGACGAAAGAGGCCCACGCGGGGCCCAGCCAAGGAGCTTTGTTTCCACAGACCCCTGTAGGCTGGTTTCATCACAGGAGACCGAAGTGTCAGGATCCTAGAGAGGCCCATCTGGTTTATGTTCGTGTGTTACTGCATCCAGGCTAGGCTCTGCTGCGGTAACAAATCAACCCCAACTTGAAGTAGCTGAAAATGGCAAAGGCTGTCCTTTTTCTCACCCCAAATCCCATCAGATCAGACCACCTTCCTTCATCTTCCAGCCACACCCTTCCCGGGAGTGTGGAGCGTGAGTGCTGGGGGCTCTGCCCTGCCTCGGCCGCAGTGACACCCCTCACGTCCACCCACAGTCCTCAGCCAGAACCGGTCATGGCCAGGGACCAGCCAACCGCAGGGGAGGCTGGGAAATGTGGAGGAGGACTTGGGTATTTGGCCAGCTCTCAGTGTCACTGCCACTTGTTATTATAAAAAGTAACATATGCTCCGGTAAAAAGTCAAACGGCACAGATGGGCGCAAAGTAAACACAAAAGCCTCCCTCTCTAAGTAACCATTCCAGACGTGTTTGATTCATGTACAGATTTTATTACTTTTAGCCAACGCGATCTTACTACAAATCTTAGGCTGCAGTGTTTTCCCCCTTAAATTGTAGAGCTTTTCCTACAACAGACCAACAGCTGCACCTCTTTTTTTTTTTTTTTTTTTTTTGCACCTCTTCTTTAAAGCTGTGCACCGTTCCCCAGATGCACAGGGAAGAGCTAGGCCACGACCTGTGCAGCCCGTCCCCACGATAGAAGTTGTTCCTGGTTTTGAAGCCACCGCAACAAATAAGGCTACCGTGTCCATCCTTCAGCATCCCTTTGGCATATTTCTGTGAGGGTGTCCGTGGGATGGACTCCTAGTGGAGGAATTGCTGTGTCAGAGGGTGTGTGCACGGCCCCCAGTTTCACTCCCACCAGCTCTGCGTGAGGGCGGGCCACGCCATCCACGTGGTGCTGCTGTCATCCCCCAGAGTGGGCTGGGCTTTACGAGGTGATACCCAAAGGGGGCAGAAGTTTTAACCACCTGATGCACACACATGCTTTTGTGACGTAAAAATGCAGACACCGTCCTGTTGGGACCCCTGAAAGGTGCTGGCCTGCCCCTTCCGGCTTTGCCCCCTCACCTAGAACCACTGAATCTGATGGAGGGGCAGCAGCAGGGGCACCAGGAGGCTGTCAGGGCGCAGGGGGTGGCGTGAAGCTGCTGCAGCTCCTGCACCCTAGCCCTCCCGCCCAGCTTCAAGGCCCGGGAGGAGGAGTAGACGTGGTCAGAGGGTCCCCGGAACCCCACCGCAGGGCTGTCTTGTGCTCCCAGGTCAACCTGGCCTACGCCTACGAGACCAAGGATGCGCTGTGCTTGGTACTGACCATCATGAACGGGGGGGACCTGAAGTTCCACATCTACAACATGGGGAACCCGGGCTTCGAGGAGGAGCGTGCCCTGTTCTATGCGGCAGAGATCCTGTGCGGCCTGGAAGACCTCCACCGTGAGAACATCGTCTACAGGTGAGCGGCTCCCCTCCCACCGCCCCGCAACCCCGGTCCCCCCATCTGAGTCTGAGCAAGTGAGGCTGACCCTTCCATGCCCTGGACTGGACGCTCGACCCCACCCTGGGAGTCGAGGCCCGGGCATTGCCCTTGAGTCAGACGGGCTCCTGCCCAGGAACCGAGTAAGGGAGGGAGGCCAAGTGTTCCCTCAAGAGTTGATGAGGTTGGGCCACTGTTCCCTTCCCAACCAGCGCCTGCGAAGCTCAGTGGAGCCTGGTGGCCTGATCCGGAACAAACCCCAGGAAGACTTTAGTAGGATCACCACCACGGCAGGCAACAGAATGGACCCCGTTCCCTCCCACACCATCCAGCTTTTTAGGACCAGGTGTCCAGGTTCTATGCGCAGTGGCCCTCAGACTCTCCTCACAGGCCTCCTCACAGAATTTTGAAAATCTGTGTGCCCTCATACATTTTACGTAGACATCTGAAATTGTCCATCATATGTTAAAAGAGTGGCTAATATTGATATTTTGAAATGGAGCTGAAGTGACATCACATTTCTAAAGGTATCCAGTGGAATCTGATTGCTGTAGCAAATTGATTTCCACCATCGTGCAGCTGAAAAAGTGCATGAAAACTCCTTAATGGTGAGGAGTTTTCTATCATTTTCTTCTCTACTCCCCTCCATCCCGACAGAATAGTTATTATAATGTAATTTTTTTTTTGCATAGAAGTTATCGATTAGCATTCCACTCTGAAATATGTGGATGTATGTAAGATTTTTTTAAAATTTCCTTTGACCATAAGGCTCTAAGTGTTAAGATAATATATTCTGTTGAGTTGACCTTATAATTATTATTACTAGATCCCACCCCTAATTGGGATCTATGGTGACTGGCTCCAGAGCCATAGTCACATTTAGGAGTGGGGAGGAACCTGCTCTCCTTCTGTCAACTGAAGCCACCAGCACGTGGGGGACCCCCGCCCCCCAGCCGCTGGGGACACACACCCCAGTTTGAAGACCTTTGCCATGGGGCTCTTGTCGGAGATTATCTTGGGAGCCCGAGAAGGTTTTGAAAGCAAGAGGAATGGTCTTGATGACGTGCCCTTCTCCCCACACCATCTCCCAATTTATGCTTTTGTTTTGTTTTCATTCAAGTGGGAAGAGAGTCAGAAAATGTTCCCTGAGGGTTGAAAAAAGAATCCTCCACTTGATTGCTTTTCTCTTAAAAAAAGAAAAAAGTCATCTCTCCAAATTCTAGCCCTTTTTCTATGGAGGAAGGGAACCATGGTGCCTCCCCGGCCCCGACCACTTGCCAGAGCCTCTCTGGGGGTGTGGATTTGTGCCCACTAGCCAGCTGTCTTTCCAACCTGGTGGTCGGTGGGGGCTGATTAATTGCAGTGATGACTCCTGCCCCTATTTGGAATGGTTAACACACCAAAAGCATGCAAGTTAACAACAGCAACAGAAGTATGTCGTAATAAATAACTACACGCAAACACCAGTTATCACTTTGTGACGCTGCACCACTGGATCTGGGCACAGGAACTGCTCCCCACGAGGAGAGCTGCCCTCCGTCTGATGAACAAAGCCAGCTGGTTGAGAACCGAATCCTCGATCTAGATGCCATGTATCATCTGCCCGATGGCTTAACTGAGTTGCACACACTATCCTGTTATTCTTTAACTCATGGAGAAAACCTTTTATTAATAAAACCAGGGCTTCCCTGGTGGCGCAATGGTTAAGAATCCACCTGCCAATGCAGGGGACACGGGTTCGAGCCCTGGTCCGGGAAGATCCCACATGCCGCGGAGCAACTAAGCCCGTGCACCACAGCTACTGAGCCTGCGCTCTAGAGCCCGTGCTCCACAACAAGAGAAGCCACTGCAATGAGTGGCCCGCGCACCGCAACGAAGAGTAGCCCCCACTCGCTGCAACTAGAGAAAGCCTGCGCGCAGCACAATGAAGACCCAGCGTGGCCAAAAATTAATTAATTAATTAATAAAATAAAAACAGACACTTCTGCTGCCTCCCTCCCCCCCAGTGGGAGTGGAGAGGTTCCCTTTCACATGAGCACGATCATTTCATCAAAGAGAAGAGAGACGTTAGGGACAGGAGGAGGCGGCTGCGTCTACAGCCGTGCCTTCTGGCGGTGCTCTCTCCCAGGCTGTGGCTCAGCTGGAGTTGGGAGATGTGCCAGGCTCCTGGGGGCCCCCTCCCAAAGGGGGTGTTTGTCCTGGAGGTTACCGTTCTCTCCCTTACAATCCTCTGTCCCAATTCTGCGGCTGGTTCTTTGTCCTCAATAACTTCTCTGCTTTCATTCCCAGACCCTGCTCTGCCTTCAAGGCATCCTGAGACCTCAGGGTCTTCTCAGGCCTGGAGGAGTCTGTCACCACTCCAGCCAGAAGTGTTCTTAGCCCTGGGGCCATCAGTGTGTGGACAGGTGCCAGGACTAGCCTTTGCCTAACTTCCTTTTCAGTCACTCTCCAGGGTCAGGAAGGCACCTATGGCAAAAAGCAGCATTTGTTTTAAATTACTGGAGGGAGAGAGGTTAGCACAAGATTGTCTTGACCCAGAGAGAGACCAGACCTCCTGAGCCCAGAGTCGGGAAGGAAACACTCAGGCCGGGTTGGCCCGAGGGGGTCCACCCAGATGCTGGTGTGCCCTTGCCTCCCAGAACAGCCGCACTCACTTGCTGGTGATCTTTCCCTTTCAGAGATTTGAAACCTGAAAATATCCTGTTAGATGATTACGGTAAGTCAGGCAGCGGCCCGGGGATCCTTCTCCTGCTCTGCAGCTGAGGTGAGCGTCGCAACCCAAAGGGAGCAGGGGTTCCCCCAGCGGAGACTCAGAGACACTGACCCGGGGTCCATGGGAGGGCAGAGGGCGTGGACAGAGCTCCCACCCGGCAAAGAAGCAGCCGAGAGGGAGGAGAGGGAGAGAGCGAGCCGTGAGTGAGGAGTCGAGAATTCCAGAGACTCTGGGCCAGTACTTAACTCTCACCCAGCTTCCCTGCGCCTCATCTTCCTTTTTTGTGAAATAGAAACAGTGGGTCCTGCCCTGCCTGCTTCAGACGGTGGAGGGTGGTGGTGAGGTTCTGACAAGAGAGCTTGAGGAGAAGTTGTTTTATCAACTGTAGCCAGCTATAAATGTGTTGGGCGTTATTACTTGTCTGTCACCTTGTGATTTTCTTGTGTGTTTGTGCGCACATGCACGGATAACAGGAGCCACCACAGCAGCCCCTCATGACTCTTCAGCCTCTCACGCCTGGGAAGGGGTTGTCACATCTTCTATCTAACTAGATCTTCTCATCTCTACAGAGGGGGCAGGGCCGACACCCCTGTGCCCATTTTACAGATGATAAGATTGAGGCTCAGAGGAGCCAACCTGCCAAGGTCACTCACCCAGCAATATCAGTGGGGAGTTGAGACCAGAAACCAGTTCTCCCTGCCAGCACGCCCCAGAGGTCAGGCAGCCCCAGGCTGATGGGAGAGAGAGAGGGAGGGAGGGAGGGAGGTTGTTGGTGACCAAGCGAAGAGGTTTGATTGTGATGCTGTCGTGTGGCGGAGCAGGCAGAGGGCTCAGGGCCCACCGCCCCTCTTTGGATGCGCCCAGTGCCCGCAGGGGGTCTTGCTGGTTCCAGAACTGTGCCCACCACTGATTTGTTGCCCAGTGGCTGGAATCTGTGTGCTCGCTCCCCTGCCCCCTACCGTTCCTGCCTTTGTCAGGGGCCACTGAGCCAGGGGAATCCACTCAGCTGCAGCCTAGCGGGGTCTCTGGCGTTGGGCCTTGCTGAGGTCCAGGCTGGGAAGGAGGGTAGTGTTCCTCCCTGCAGGGTCAGATGAGGCCACGACCCTGCCAGCTGGGCCACTAGGAGAGACAGCACTGAGGCGAGCTCTCAGCACCACGTTGTCTCTGCCTTTGGGGGTCGGTCCTGGTCCAGGAGCTCCAATGCCTCCCCACAGTCTCTGCTAAGCCTGGGTGGCAGTGTCTCCAAAGGGAGAAAACAACCCCCAAAGACCAACAAGGCAGCACAGGGAGTTGCTTCCCAAATTGCTTTATGATTTTTCCCCTTAAGCAAATTGTTCCAAAATGTCAGGAGACTCTTACATTTTCCCATGAAGCAATTCCAGAATCAGGCCAAGGCATTTTAAACTTTGTGACATCAGCCTTCCAAGAAGCCCATTAGGGCATTTTATGAGGCAGGTCTGCAATCGTCTAACCAAATCCAGGCATCCTTTTCATCGTTAAGTTTTTCTCCGAAAAAGTAATACTTTACCGCTGTCCTCTGACACCTGGACTCTTCCAAGGGTCTGCAGTCACCCTGCCATGGCAGGTTTGGTACCACTCTTTCTAGGACAGATGAAATGCCAGGGGCCCATGGCAAGTCTGGGGCCCTGCCCAGGGTAGACCAGATGTCCACATGACCATCCCAGGGACCTATTGACTCTGTTGTCCTCCCTCAGGCCACATTAGGATCTCGGACCTGGGCCTAGCTGTGAAGATCCCGGAGGGAGACCTGATCCGCGGCCGGGTGGGCACTGTCGGCTACATGGGTGAGTGTAGGCGCGGCCTCTCACCAAGCCCCACCCTCAGAGCCACTGGCCTCTTTGTGCAACTAGAAGTAGTCAGGCTGGGAGGTGGGAGGTCTTAGTCAGGGTTCGGGGAGCATTGGGGCACCAGGGCGCAACTTGACTTCACGGAGCTCTGCAGCTCCCGCCCCTAGCCCCAGCTACATCTCTTGGGAGGGCAAGCCCCTCCCAAGGTCAGTGGCAGAGCTGACAAACAGCGCTGCCTGGGGGTGGGTGGAGTAGGGGTCTGCTGAGTTGGCAGACAGCCTTTCAGGGTGACCTCGAGAGGGGGGAGATCATTAGGAAGGGTCCAGAAAGGAGAGGAGCACCCCACCTACTGTGTCACAAGTACCATTCTAAGGAGAGACCAGCCTCGGGCTCCCTGCGCTGCATCCCCTGAGCCTTCTCTGAGACCATCATCCCGGGAGCTACGGGGAAGAGCCCCAGAGCTACACCGACCCCTGGAATGCTCCTGCCAATAAGGGATATTCCCTGGGCTTCCTTCTGCACACCTCCCACTCATAAGCCCACTCACACCAGGAGGCAGAGGACTCCTGAAAGCTCTGGGGGTGTGGGAACCTTGTTCTCCTCTACCGGGCTGTTGCCAGCGACACATGCTTAGGGTTCTAGACTTGGTCTCTGGTGCTCGAGGGTCCTTTTCAGGTTGCACAACATTGGAGGACCTCTGGGTGTGTATCTGTGTGTATGTTGGGGGTATGTATACCCATGTGAATGCCGAGGGATGGATGGACAGATGATAGGTGGATAGATAGATAAATAGATGACAGATGGATGGATGACGGATGGATGGATGGATGATGGATGGATGGATGGATGGATTAATAAATGGGTGGATAGATGGATGGATGGGTGGATAGATAAATGGGTGGGTGCATGATAGATGGGTGATGGGTAGATAGGTCCATCTGTGCACCTTCGTGTGTGTCTGCCTGTGCATCTGCGTCTTCTCCTCTTGCACAGAGTGTCTGCACAGCACATGGTGTTGTGTGCGTACCAGCACATGTGTGGATGCATTTGCCTCCCTGGATGAACGTGGCCTGCCTGATGACCTGAAACTATCTTTTTTGCATTTCTATGGTGAATCTATAATTCATTTTATCAAAATGTTAGAGAAGCTATTTGAATTCCAGCTAAATTTAAAATCATTTTACTTCGGGTGGACACACCATTCATTGTAACAAATACGTGTGCAGCACCTACTGTGTGTCGGGCGTCGTACCTGTCACCGGGCACAGCAGGGAATAAGGTGGCTCACAGTCTAGTGGGGGAGACATCAAGGGAACAGGTTGTTTCCATCCACTGTGGTCAGGCTTCTGAAGCCACAGTCAGAGTCCTGGGAGCACAGCAAAGAGCAACCAGGGCAGGCTCCCAGGAAGAGGTGGTATTTACAGCAGCTGGTGGGCCAGGGTTGGCAGAGGGAAGAGGTCTGAGCCATCAAGCTCCAGGCCTTCTGTGAGCAGCAGCATCACTCCTGGCTGCAGGACGTCCTGAGGCCCCGTTGACATCGCAGTCCTGGCCCCGTCTGCCCGGGCTCTGACCTGCCACCAGCTGTCTCTCACCTCTCCTCGCTTCCCTGCTCTGCCCCCAGCTCCAGAGGTCCTGAACAACCAGAGGTACGGCCTGAGCCCCGACTACTGGGGTCTGGGCTGCCTCATCTATGAGATGATCGAGGGCCAGTCGCCCTTCCGCGGCCGCAAGGAGAAGGTGAAGAGGGAGGAGGTGGACCGCCGGGTCCTGGAGACTGAGGAGGTATATTCGCACAAGTTCTCCGAGGAGGCCAAGTGCATCTGCAAAATGGTGAGCTCCCGGTGAGCCAGACGCTGCCCCGGGTCTGGTGTCCAGTGCTGGCTCCCCTCCCGGCCCTTAGCCGAGAACAGCAAATGGGCTGAAGGGGACAGGGTCGGGGCACGCTAGGGTGTGGGCGATGAAGCCACCAGGCCGGAGGAGCAGGCTGTGGACTGGGGCGGGCGGTGAAGGCTTCCAGGAGGGAGCCTGGGGTGGAGGCTCTGGTGGAGCAGGGCGGCTCTGTGATAAGGGAGGGGGCTGCGTGACAATGGGAGACACCCTCACGTCCAGCTCTGTGGGGGAAGCCAGCATGGGGAGAAAGGGGCTGATCCTGGCTCGCCCCCAAGACACAGAGGGATCCAGGCAGCCCCTACCCTTGACCTTGGGCCTCCTGCTGTCTCTCCAGCTCTGGACCCCTGGGTGCTGGCTTGAGGCCAGGGGCTGCAGGTGGTGGGTGGCGATAGTTTCAGTCTTCGAACATCTTATACTCGAGTTCTCCACCCACTGTATGGAATGTTGGTCACACTTGCTGGGGCCCTGCGTGACAGCATCCATGGATAGAGAACTTGACCCGGCCACAGGCAGGGCGCACTCGGGGAATGACCTTTAGACAGGCTGGGTGGACGGGGCCAGACTCGGGGGCTGGAAGCCAGATAGAGGAAGGAGTGACAGGAGCCATCAAAAGTGGAGCTGGGGGACTTCCCTGGCAGTCCAGTGGTTAAGACTTTGCCTGCTGGTGCAGGGGGTGCGGGTTCGATCCCTGGTCGGGGAGCTAGGATCCCACATGCCTCGCGGCCAGAAAACCAAAACATGAAACAGAAACAATGTTGTAACAAATTCAATGAAGACTTCAGAAATGGTCCACATCAAAAAAAAATCTTAAAGAAAAAAAAAGTGGGGGCTTCCCTGGTGGCGCAGTGGTTGAGGGTCCGCCTGCCGATGCAGGGGACACGGGTTCGTGCCCCGGTCCGGGAAGGTCCCACATGCCGCGGAGCGGCTGGGCCCGTGAGCCATGGCCGCTGAGCCTGCGCGTCCGGAGCCTGTGCTCCGCAGCGGGAGAGGCCACAACAGTGAGAGGCCCGCGTACCGCAAAAAAAAAAAAAAAAAAGTGGAGCTGGAGAGAGTCTGCCCCTGGACCGCGGCCCTTCCTCTCGGCCCAGGTGGGCCCGCTTCCTTTCCTGCCTGGCTCGTAGGCTCCCAAGGCCCCCCAGGGCCCTCCTCCCTCTGGTGCTAGCCCAGCTGTGCTAGCACCTCCACTGCAGGCAGCTGCCCTCTTATACCAGCCACTCGGGGACAGGAGGGGCCTGAGCGCTTGGCTCTGGGCACCGGGGATCCACAGATCCCCTTCCTCTCCCTGCAGCACGCTGCACCTGGAGCAGCGGACAGGCCGGCGGACCCTCAGATCTGAATCATGGGCGTAAACCAGGCTAGAGTGCAGAGAAGGGCAGGCCCGGAGAGCTGATGAAAAGTAGCAGAGTTTCTGCTTCTAGAAAACCTGAGGCTGCACTGCTAGGGGCCCAGAAACCATCTGGCATAGTTCCCACCCCCAGAAGGCCACCCTCCTGGAGCCGTCCGCCTGCTGCCTGACCGCTTCCTCTTACCAGCCTCGGTCTGACGTCACAGAGGCATGGGAAGAAGGATTTGGGCTAGAGCTGCCATCTGACCACTTCCAAAGGAAGAGGAACCATAGATCTGCCATTGGCATGTGTGAGAGACAGTGAGGGAGGTATGGTGTGTACACAAGCAAACACACGCCCGGACCACAGGCCTGGGCCAGCCTGTAGCTGGGGGACCTCCGAGAAAACAGGTAGTCACGGCAGCCAGAGCTGGGGTCGGGGGGCAAGAGGAGCAGGGCAGCAAAAGGCAGGTACGTGGAAATGTGCGGTCCTAGGGATGATTGACAGCCGGGGGCTGGGGGGGGCCAAGGATACTTGGTTATGTCACAGTCAGGAGCTAACTGGACAAGGGAAGAGGGAGGTCACAGCATCACCAAATGTCCCAGGTCAGGGAATTCAGAGAAGCAGGTCTTGAGAAACGCCCAGCAGCAGCATGGGATGTGCTGAGAGGACAGAGAGGCACAGAGCGCCCCCTCCCTGCCCACAGTCATCGGCTTTGGCGCCCGGCTTTGGGGCCCCAGGACCGGGGGCACTGCTGTTCCTCTGCTGTCCCCTGGTGGCCACTGAAGGAAAGGTGGCGTCTGAGCCTGGGGCTCCAGGCAGACCTGGGTCCGTAGGTGTACGTGTCAAACCAAGGTCTCCTGTCTCTCTCAGCTAGAAGAACCTTTGGAGCTCTCTGGCCTTCCTCTGCCTCCTTACCCTGGGGTCTTGGAATTCTGGTCTTGGGCTTCTTCTGAGCCCTTAACCACAGCCCATCTGGTCTGGCAGCCAGGCTGCCACCACCAAGGGACACCAGCTCAGGACACAGCAGGGCCTGACCGTAAGGAGACCATGGAGGCCCGGGGCAGCTCCAGCCCCACCTGCCGAGGAAAGTCTCTCTACAAACAGCAAGGAAGCTGGTCCCTGGCCCCCAGATTCTGTCCCTCATTCCATCTTGGCAGCCACAAGACCCTCTTCACTGCCCCTGGTGTCCAGAAATGCATGTATCTCATTGCCTTGTCCCCTGGGTCCAGTCGTACCTAGGCCCAGACCTCAGCCCCCACCTTTCTCAGGCCCCTGCTGAGTCCCAGCACTGGTTCTTCCCCACTGGCCCTGTAGCCCTCTCAGTCTCACCGGTCCTTCCAGCCCATTGCTAGTCTTCCTCCTCCAGGAAGCCCTCTCTGCCTGCCCCATCCACCTCAGCTCACACCATCTCTCCCTTTCACTTCTGGTTTATACTGATATTACATGTGTAAACTCTCTACCTGATGCCCAGGTTGCAGACAGGCAGCGTGTAGATGGGTGTTTATTTCAGCCTGCATACTGTCTTAGAGAGAGGTGAATAGTGGGTTACTTGCCAAGATTTTTAAATGGGGCAAATTCACGTAAAAACCTGGATTTTCTGGCTTCTCGAAAAAAGCAGAAGCCCTGGACACTGGCCAGCATCCCTGCCTGGCAGGAGCTGACGGGCATCCTGGCACGGCCCGCCCAGCCCAGCCCACCCCTCACCTTATTGCTCTCACTTGTGCCATCTGTCTGGCCAGCCCCTGCAGGCTTTGGGGTCTGCAGCCTCTTGGGATTACTCAGAGCAGAGCAAAGTCCCAGGAGAAGAGCAGCTGAGGCTCCGAGCCACCAGCCCACTGGGCAAAACACTCTTGGGTGGTCGGTGGACCGAAGGTGACATTGTGAGTGGCTATCTCATGGCTTAGTCCCTTCAAGGCTGTGACCTGGTGCTTGCCCCACTGCCACCTTTCATTCCTTAGTTTTAGGGGGTGGGCAGTCCCAGCAAGCCTCCCCTCCAGACTCTGGGCCCCAGGAGGCCCCCCTGCCCGCTGGCTCTCAGGGCAGCCATAAATGTGTATTAAATGAACACATGCAGAGGGCACCAGGGTATTGGTCAAGGAAAGGGCTGGACTCCCTCCAAGGTGCAGACCACCCACTTTGATTTTAGTCTCAAAGCAGACACTTAGTAGATTCCAGCTGCGTCTATGGTGCAGTGCTCAGTGGGGTGGGGACACTGGGACTGTGGGGAGGGACTGATGCCCTGCGGTCACATGGCGGCCCTGCCCCATCTTCAGCCGGGGCCTGCCCCTCCCCTTCCCCCCTTCCTCTCTTTCTTTCACACCTTCCTCCCGTCCAGCTGTCTCTGCTCCTGCAGCCCCTTCCTCTTCTATTAACCATTCTGCCTTTTGGTTGTGTTGAGAACAGTCCTCTACCCCAACCATCCTTGTCTCCCCACTACACCTGTATTAAAATCCTACCTCTGGACCTGCCCTTGAGGACCGTCCATCACTCTCCCCAGCCAGTCCCCTTCCCCCGACCCACCTCCCTCATCCTTCACTCAGACTCAAAGACAGGTGTTCCCCAAACACGCCCTGAGTGTCCCTGCCGCCCTGCTCATGATGCCACAGGTCCCTCCGATGCCTGCTCCCACCTTTGAAAGCCTGTCGCAGACGCCCCTTCCCCAGGACACCTCCCGATGCCTCAGCTGGCAGCCAGTTCTTGTTCCTCTGCCACCATGGTGTCATATCTGCATTGCCTTGATGGGTCCTCTGAACATGAATTTCCTGAGGCCAGACCCTTAGCATCCTTTCTCGGGACCTACTGGGTACAAGTCTACAATGTACTTATGAACGGAGTAAATGAATGAAAGAACCCACTGACCAGTCCTTGCCCTTTGTAGCTTACCCGGAGCAGAAGAGTTAACACCAATTCAACAAACATTAGTGCATGCTGGGTTGGAGAAGCAGACAGGATTCCTGCTCTCCTGGGGGTTCCGGGCATCTGAGCATGCTGGGAACATGGGACCACAAAGCACACTGTGGCTCAGGAGGCCACCCTGAATCGAGGCCTGAGCAGGCAGTGTCCGCTGGGTACCTGGGGTAGCGCAGGCACTGCGGAGGAGAGAGGAGGGACGTTCGGGAGGGCTCAGGGACACTTGTGTGAAAGGGAGGTGACCACAAGCTCTCCGAAGCCCCTCTGCCCCTCGGGCCTCTGGGCAGGAGGAAAAGTCCCCCGGGCAAGTCCTCATGGGGCTCTCCTGTCACAGCTGCTCACCAAAGATGCAAAGCAGAGGCTGGGCTGCCAGGAGGAAGGGGCAGCAGAGGTCAAGAGACACCCCTTCTTCAGGAACATGAATTTCAAGCGCTTAGAAGCCGGGATGTTGGACCCTCCCTTCATTCCAGATGTAAGTAGCCTCCCCAGCCTAGACTGAGCCTGTGCATTGATTTATGACCTTCCACTTCACTGAACATCTGTGCTGGGCCCCGGCTCAGAGGCTGAGACCTGTGGGCAAGGGATGGCCCCCGTCTTCCAGTAGCAGGGTGTTGCCCGGTCTGGGGGTCTCTCTGTACCCACCCTGGCATCATCACCTCTATGAAGTCCTCATCTCCAGAATCCCAGGCTCCCAGAGCCCCTGGGAGGCCTCCCCCACTGACCTAGAATCCCCAGAGGGCAGGGCGCGGGTTTTTCTCTGTGAGTCCCCGCACGGCTGCCCCAGAGCATGTTTGGTGGATGAGATGAGAGAGATCACTATGGTTACGGCGCCGGGGCCAGAGCAGCACTGACGACAGCCCCGTGGCCTGGTGCCTCGACTGCCCCATTTTGCAGGTGAGGAAACTGAGGCCTCCAGGGGATATGTAACTTTAACAGAGCACCTAAGCACTACAGCTGGGACCCCAGCCCAGGTCTGTGTGGCTGCCGAGCCTGTGTGCTGACCTACCACCCCTGACGGGCCTCCGATGCGAGAAGGGCCAGGGAGGTCCTCCTGGGACATCGCCCCGTTGCATACTGTGCGGGGCAGTGATGGCAGGAAGGGGCCCTGAGCTCTCCTCACCCCAGCTGGGGGCCCCTTGGCCCCTCTGAGCGAAGGGCAGCCCGGGTTCCCGGAGCGGGGGTGGCCCTGGGAGACCCCCGCTGCTCTCCATCAAAACCCTCCGGGCCTGGCTGGGGGCCACCAGAGCCACAGGCAGGGCTCCTGGTGACCAGCGCCCTGCCCTCCCAGCCCCGGGCCGTGTACTGCAAGGACGTGCTGGACATCGAGCAGTTCTCCACCGTGAAGGGCGTCAACCTGGACCACACAGACGACGACTTCTACTCCAAGTTCTCCACGGGCTCCGTACCCATCCCTTGGCAAAGCGAGGTGAGCACGGCGGGGCCCTCAGCTTCACCCTGAGGGGAGGGTGCAACGAGGCCAGAAGAGGGACAGCTGGGTGGGCGTCCCTGTGGGCAGACTGGGGCGTGGTGTGGTGCTGGGTCAGGAGCTGGCTGGGCGGGAAGAGGAGGCCTGTCTCAATGGCTCTCTGGAGAAGCGTGGCTGGGAAACAGGAGAAATGGGGCAGCAGTGGGAGGCACGGGGGGGCTGGAGGTGGGGCAAGTTCGAGCTGGTTCGAGTGAGATGGCAGTGATGGGGCAGTGGGCCTGCAGCGCTGGAAGAGGGAGGGTCCGGAGCGCTGGGGGTGAGTCCCGTGGCTGGGAGATGAGCGCTTCCCTGCCGCTGCCCTCCATGGCCGGCTACTGTCTTCTCGGAGAGGGCGGCTTGCAGGGCCGTCAGGGAGAGGCGGTGGGCGGGCCTTGCTGCCTGGCTCTCTGCCCTGTGAGATGGAGGGTGGGCGGAGAGCCTGGCAGGACCGGGCTCGGGGCAGTGTCGCCCAGGGCTGGGCTGCTGGGATTCCTGTCCACCCAAGATGACCAGCGCAGCCCCTGACACCACCCGTGTTCTGACCGCTTCTCCAGATGATCGAAACAGAGTGCTTTAAGGAACTGAATGTGTTTGGACCTAACGGTACCCTCTCGCCGGACCTGAACAGAAGCCACCCTCCGGAACCGCCAAAGAAAGGGCTGCTCCAGAGGCTCTTCAAGCGTCAGGTGAGACCCTCACTCCCACCTCAACCCTGCTGTCCTGGCCTCAGCTCTGGGAACCCCCAGGTCTTAGCCTTCCAGACAACTGAGACCAACTTGCAGGCTGGGGAGACTGGGGGCAGCAGCAGCCTGGAAGGGAGAGGCAGCCTGTCTGAAGTGCCTTGAGACCCACTGGCTGATGAGGTCCCCAGAGCAGAAGGGGCAGGGCCAGCCCAAAGTTAACCGGTCGTCAGGGTTCCTCAGCCTCGGTGCTGCTGATGCTTTGGGTTAATTCATTGTCGCGGGGACTTATGCGTTGAGGGAACTTAGCAGCATCCCTAGCCTCCGCCCAGTAGATGGCAGTAGCACCCACTGCCGTGTGTCAATCAAAAATGTCTCCAGGACTTCCCTGGTGGCGCAGTGGTTGAGAGTCCGCCTGCCGATGCAGGGGACACGGGTTCGTGCCCCGGTCCGGGAAGATCCCACATGCCGTGGAGCGGCTGGGCCCATGAGCCATGGCCGCTGAGCCTGCGCGTCCAGAGCCTGTGCTCCGCAACGGGAGAGGCCACAACAGTGAGAGGCCCGCGTACCACCACCCCCCAAAAAAATGTCTCCAGATGCTGCCTAATGGCCCTGGGGACAAAACGCCCCTAGTCGAGAGCCATTGTAAAGATGACGCAAGTTATGCAGGTAAAGATTTGACAAAGAACAGGGGGATCTGGTGCTGGAGAGGTGATCTCCAAAGAACCTCATGGCTCCCGTAGTTTGATGCTGTGCCCTGCACCTGGCAGCCAGAGGAGACTTTGGCCCTCAGGAAAAGGTATTCTTCCCTCAGAGCCTGTCCCTGGATCAAGGGTTGCTGTGGGCCACATGGGAGAAATGTCCCAGGAAGGACCTGGCAGGCTTTCTAGAGTGAGAGACTCCTAACCTCATCCCTGCCACCAAGAAGATGGCCACAATAGTGCCGCCTCCTGGCCTGGCCCTTCAAGAAGGCAGGGCCCCATCCTGAGGCCTGGGAGGCCCCTGGTTCCTTACTTTCCTCCTCCCCGCAAGGGAATAGCAGCAGCTCTGTACCCAGGCCCCGGGCATCCCAGCTCCCTCCTGCTTAGATAACAGGGAAGAGGTGGCTGTTCGTGGCACTCCACTGTGGGCCAGGCACTGTGCTGGGTGCTTTTTGAAGGCGTCTCTTATTTAATCTTCACAAAACCCCAGGCCTTCATTCAACTATTCATTCCACCAATATGTATTGAGCACCTACTCCATGCTAGACTGTTACCTGAGGACTTAAGATGCATCAGCAAGCAAAACTGCATCCCTCCTTTGGGGCATCTTAGCGAAGTGTGAGCCCAGGATGTGCTCCCATTAGCCCATTTCACAGATGAGGAAACTGAGGCTGAGAGGAGTTAAGGAACTTGCTCAAGGTCACACAGCCAGTGAGTGAGCCCTTGCGGAGGATCTGGGCTAACAGGGCGGGCAGCACGGGTCAGGCACACTGAGAGAAAATGCAGACTGAGGCCTGAGTTTGCGGTTTTATCTAAAAACGTCATGTGAGTTTCACCTCCTATTCCATAATATACTCATATCCATCTACTATAAAAATATAATTTTCGGGCTTCCCTGGTGGCGCAGTGGTTGAGAGTCCGCCTGCCGATGCAGGGGACGCGGGTTCGTGCCCCAGTCCGGGAAGATCCCATGTGCCGCGGAGCGGCTGGGCCCGTGAGCCATGGCCGCTGAGCCTGCGCGTCTGGAGCCTGTGCTCCGCAACGGGAGAGGCCACAACAGTGAGAGGCCCGCGTACCGCAAAAAAAATATATATATATATATATATGTATATGTATATATACATATACATATATATATGTGTGTGTGTATATATATATATATATATATACACATATATATATACACATATATATATGTATATATATGTGTATATATATATATATAAAAAATTTTCAAATGCTTCCATTAAGTAAAATTGAAGTTCCAGAAAGAAATGACCTCCACCCCCGAAGTGGCCGAGCCCCCCAGGACGGCCCGGGATCCTGGGACAAGCGTTTGCTGTGGAAGCTCATGGCCCAGGTTCAAATCCAGCCCTGACCCTTCTCGGTTGGGTGGCAGCGTATTGAACCCAACCCCCGCCCCAGCCTCTGTTTGCCCACATGAAAAATCAGGATGGAGATGCCAGCTGCCCAGGGTGAGTGAGGTGGAGGACAGTGACCTCAGCACAGTGCCTGGCACCACGACTGCCACCAGGGGAGCAGACACGCCGGCTCTCTTCTGCAACGTGAGGGGCCCGCGCCCACGGGGGTGCCAAGAGGGTGCCAGGGATACTGAGGGCGAGCAGCTCGTGGTTCCCAAGCCGGGCACCTGCTAGAGCCCTTTGCACACACAGCCTTGTTTCCGTCTCCCAACAGCCCTGCGCAGAAGCGGCTCCTAACCCACATCACGGGCCAGGCAACCGAGGGAGTCAGACACTTTCTCAAGGTCACTCAGCTAAAAAGTGGCGGATTTAGGATTCGAACCCGGCAGCCTAACTCTGGGCCTGCAGGCCTAACCATGTAGATAGATATTATAGGAGGGACCACCTCCTCTCTGCCTTGGGCGTCTGTTAATCAGGTAAAGCCCTCTGCCCCAAGGGGTGGCCTCTGGACCTGGGTCTGCAGGGGGAGAACAGAAGGCAGCAGAAAGCAAGGCGGGGAGCTGGTCAGCTGAGCTCCCCTCCAGTTCAGATTCAGAGGCCCCTGTGATGCAAGGTCCCCAGGGCTCGACTCTGCGATGACTGACCTTCTCTCTCCCTCTTTCTCTCCTCCCTGCTCACCCTCCTTCCAGCATCAGAACAATTCCAAGAGTTCAGCCAGTTCCAAGACCAGTTTTAACCATCACATAAATTCAAACCATGTCAGTTCAAACTCCACCGGAAGCAGCTAGCTGCAGCTCTGGCCTGAAGCCCACGGTGGGACCAGCCTAGACCCTTCTCCTTAGAAGCGGACTTGTGACCGGTGGAGCTTCCGCCCTGGCGGGCAGGCGGGGGAGCCCTCCAGGAGCCGGGGAAGGAGGCCGTCCAGCCCCGAGATGGGGAGCCTCCAGGTTCCTCAAAGAGATTTCCACTCAGGTCTGTGTTCGGAGGCGGCCCTCAAGCCAAGGTGGATTGGCTGTGTCTCTGTCGAACATTGCAATAGAAATCCAATTGGATACAACTTGCACGTGTTTTAACAGCGTCGTAACTAGAACTGAATTTTGTCTTTATTATTTTTAAAGAAAAGTTTTGTAAATTTCTCTATTGTTTCAGTTTACATTTTTGTATATTTGTATTTAAATGAAAGTCAGACTTTGAGGGTGTATATTTTCTGTGCAGCCACTGTTAAGCCATGTGTTTTAAGACATTTTAGAGGGGTGGCGGGCGGGGAAGGGTGTAAAAAAAAAAAATGTGACTCAAGACTTCCAGAGCCTCAAATGAGAAAATGTTTTTATTAAATGTAGAAAATGATTCCCATTTCACCTTTAAAGGATTGATTGTATCCATCTCTATAACCTTTCCCTCCCTCGCATTGGTATCACCGTTCTGTTGGCTTGTAACTCTCTGAATTAAATGCGCAAAGACCGACTGGGACTTCACCCCCAGCCAGGATGTGTTCCGTTGGGGTCCATGGAGTTGCCTGGGCCCAACTCCGTCAAGATGTGCACTTTTCCTTTGGGGGCACACGATGCCACTGTTGCTTTGGCCTTGGCCTCCTCTTCCTTCTGGAAGGCGGCCGGTACGTGGAGCTGAGGGTCTTCAGCTCAAGGGTGTCTAGGCCTCTTTCTTTCTGAGTAGGTTCTGACTGCTAAAGCCAGTATGTTTTCAAGAGGCTTGCATCTGGGGATTGTTTTATTCTAGTTTTAAGAGACGCATAGCAACGATGAGGAGTAGTCATGGAACCCCAAGAGTCCCAAATGCTTACAGCCCATAGAAACATCAGGGAGCGGAGGTCTTGGGCTTGTAGAGGAGAAGGTGGCTCTCCAGGATCTCTGGGCATGTCCCTTGAGTGTTTACGGGGTCAGAGGGCCTTGAGAGCTTCCTGGGGCCCCGCAGATTCATTGGCTCAGGTGGCATGGATGCAGGAGGCTGGCTCTCCAAGCAAATGGGAGAGGCCGGGCCACCCACAGAAGCTCAAGAAAAACTCACTGTCCCTTCCGGGAGAGGTGAAGCAGAGGCGAGCTCTCATTGGGCATCTCAAAGCTCCAGGCACAAGTAGCCCCAGGAGAACTTGGCGGCTTTGCCAGACCAGGGTCTCTAAAGGCAGCCCCCAGGCCCTTTGAGCAGGGCTGTCCAGCCCCAGGGAGCGGCCAGCCTCCCCCCTGCCGCCTTCACAAGGTGACAGGGAGCAAAGCTGCCTTTGCCTCCCCTCCGGGACGGGGTGAACAGTTGAATTCCCGGCTCCCCTGCTTGCCAGGTCACCCTCAGTCAGACCTGGTCTCAGCCACTGGGCAGCTGCCAGGGTTTCTCCCGGCGCGGGCCCTGCACTTCCTGCAGCAGCATCTCCTGTTAAAATACAGATTCTGGGCTCCACCCCAAACCTACGGAATGGGATTCCCTGGGAGTAGTGCCCAGGAATCTGTATCTCTAAAAAGCACGCCAGGTCATTCTGATGCACCCTGGAGTGTGAGAACCACTGCCTTAGGCCATCGGTGGGGCTTTTGATGTGATCCTCCCAAACTTATTTCTCTAGGTGACCAGGCAACTTTGGAGCCTGAGCTTTTAGGGAGGAGAGAGAAGCCAGCGTGTCAGCCTGTGTCCCAATTTCCATGCTCCTTCCCCAAACTTTGCCATTGGGTCCTGAGGCTAGACAGGGGGCTGACCGTTGCAACTGACCATTTTGAGGTCATTTTACAAGGAAAGAGAAGAAAAGAAACAGTTGGGCCTCCCTTAGATCCCTTTAATGTGCAGTATTATTTTCTTCAAGACCAGCTCTCGTCTCCGAGGCTGCTTCCGTTACCTCTCTGGCGCTGAGTACAAGATTAATACAAATAGCCGTGTTCAGTGTTTGCTGAGGAAGTGGAAAGCTCTTTGAGCAGTATTTTAAGATCCTCAAGCTCTTACTGACCCTCCTCAATGAAAAGGACAGTCATCTTCCTGGGACAGTCCACGCCACCACCCTCCTGTCCAGAAATTTCATTCATTTTGCCCGATTCACAGCAACTCAAACCTTTCCAAACGGACTGGTGGGGAGCAACCAGTCTCTTTACACCTCAAAGCCAACGCACTGTCCGTTTGCGGTAGAGAATCATCAAGAAGCAAGAAAGAAAACATACATCTGCTCAGTGTGTTTCTACATCATGAGAGCACAGAAGCACAGGACTTTGCGTGGCTCTCAGGATAACGGGAGTCTTCCTTCACCCTCGCCACCTGTCCCCTGAGCGCCCCAAAGTGTACAGGGTCAGAGTTACTGGCCTTTTCAATCCTCCTTTTCCTTTCAGTCCATTGCTTTGTACAGAGAAGGGGCGTCTTCATTTGGAACAGTGCCTGAAAGCCAGCCCCCTCCCCTCTGGGTCCCCAGTTGCCACAGGTCCTGTCCCTGGACCCCCAGCCCTGCCCCGCTGCCAACCTCTACTCCAGCTTGTTTTCTATGGTTGCATTTTTAAAAAGATTTTTTAACTTAAAAAAAAAAAACACAAACCTTCCCACCATCTACCTGTCCAGGAGGAGGCCTATTTGGGCAGCCAGTGGATTTAAATCTTTTTACTGCATTTGAACTCTTCACGGAAGAGACTTTCTTCCTCCAAGCATGACGTTTTTCTCACCGGACCTTCTCTGACTTCGTGCCTTTGAGGTGAGACGCAGGGCCTTGCAGAAGCACCTCTGCTTCCCCTGTTCCAGAGCCAAGCCGCTGTCCCCAGTGAGATGGGGGTGGTCTCTGCCGTGATCACCATGACCTGTGAGTGTTTCTCAAGCCCCCTGGGCGGCTCCCATGATTATCACCCACAAGATCACAAAGACCCAACCCCACCTTCACGGAGGATGGTACCACCTCCCACATCAACTCATCCTCTGATCTTTCTAGGCCGGGAACATCGTTCTTTAAACCACGAGGCTTCTCGCGAGGGCGGCTGACTTGCACAGTAGCTAAGGGCTGCCCTGTCTTGAGCCGCCCCAGGAGGGCTTGTTTCCCGAAATGCACTGCTCTTAACAAAGGGGAGCGCTCAGTCTTGGAGGCCATGCAGCACGGAAGCAAGCGGTGTGGCCTGGGGTATGCACGCTTCTCAGGCAGCCCACGGGGGCAAATGGCAGTGAGTTCTGGGGACACGTATGTGGACGTGGCCTTGGCATTGAAAGCACAAGTGAGATGCGGCTGCCTGCCCTTGAATCTAGCAATCCTTGGTGATGCTGAGGGCCTGGCCTCCGAGAGGCCAGGGGTCAAGGAGCCCAGCCCTCCGTGGAAGCTTCCCCCTATCCTTCTACACCCCTGTCCTTTCCCCCAGACTTTTCCCACTAACTTTCTCATGCAAACTGCTGACCCAGACCTCAATACAGAGGGAGCACTGCAGCCTCCTTGAGCCTGGTAGCCCAGGCCTTGCCGAAGGGAACAGCGGCCTTGCGGACCACCAAGTCCCCCGAGATGAAGAGGAAACGCCAGTCGGGGTGACACCCAGCCCTCCTCTGGGGCTGCTGTGTGCTTGCGTATCCATGGGCAACCCCTCTGGTTGTCTCCTGTTCTCTAGCTCCACACTCTGAGGTAGGACCTCCTAACTTTTTAGCCTTTCTATGGAAAGAGTGTGAAATCTTTGTGCATTTCCAAGCGCAGAGCTGTGAGTCACGAACGGCAGAGAGCTCGCTTTCTGATCACAACAGACCACATGGTGACACCTCGTCCCCCTAGGCACCTTCTGTACCTACTTTTAGGACCAACCAGCCCAGCTTTTGAAGCTCCAACGTGTAGGGGTCAGACCCTGCTCAGGTGCAGGTACCTCGTCTGGTCTAACTTTAAAGGCTTGTGCTGTGGACAGTGGCTAAAACCTTTGAAACACTAGCTCTCCTTAGGAGGGAAAGACACTCCCCAAAAGAAGAATCTAGATGTCTTTCCCTGGTCCATCACTAAGTCATTTTTGTAATAGATCAAAAGCAAATGTTCTCAATTAGAAGAGCTTAGTGGCTGTTAAAATAATTAGTGTTAAAATAACAATCCTTCTAGTATCCAAAGGTTGCTATTTTTTTTTCAGGGAAATTTTAACATTGATGAGTAAAAATAGTTCCATTCTGGAGTCATTCCCGAGGATAACGGCTTCTGTTCTCCTGCTGCTCTTGAATCTTTGTATGTTCCCTCGAATATGTCACAGTGCTGCTGTATCTAGATCGAACCACTGTTGTTGTTTTTTTAAGAGAAATAAATTCCTTAATGAAAATATGGCTGCACTTCTTCCCTTCTGCTGAGCTGTTCTATTTCTTCTGCCAATGCCAGCTGCCCCCAAGATGCCAGGACGTGCTGCTTCAGTCTTTGAGTTAACCTTTCCTCAGGTGGACGGTTCAGCCCCACCCAATGCTGGCCCCCATGCTGACCACCCAACCTGCCCTGGCCCAGCTCCAGGGGGCAGGGTCTAAGGAGACCACCTGAGCCCTTTCCAGGTTGATGGGCTTCTGATCGCAGAGCCAGCAGACGGCTCCAGAAGTGTTCCTGCCACAAGGTACCATGCAGGAGTGGGGCGAGAGGGCCTGAGTGGGTGCTGGCACCCAGATCAGAGGGGGCACCTCCACCTGGCAGGTTTTACCTGACAGAGGCCACAACTTGGATGTGGGCTCCACAGAGAGGGCCTCTTCTGGCTGTCCAGCCTTCACGGAGCCACATGTTAGAACTGCTCACCAGCACGGCAGGATGGCCTCAGGACCTGGAGTCCCAGTCTAGGACCCGAGACCTGGCCAGTCCGCCTTCACCTGCCTGGCTTAGTGGGACATTGAATAGGGCTCTGGGCTCAAACAACCCCTTCCTGACAATCTGTGTGAGTTTGAGCGGCCACTTAACCCTGAGCCTCAGTGGCTTCGTGTGTACAAGGGGGTGACACCTGCTGGGGTGCGGGTTCTCCTGGAAGATTCAGGGGGACACGTGTGATGCCCAGCACAGAGACCTTTGCCATGGAGGACACTGTCGCCCTGGCTGTCTTTGGACCCCTTTTGAGCCTTGACAGGGCAGGGGTCATAGACCCACACACATCGGGCCCTGGGCCCAGCCCGGGAGCTGGCGGCAGTCCTAGCCCCTGGCAAGGGAGGCCCTGAGCTGGGATTCGAGGCTGGAGCCGCCCACCTCACAGGGAAGGTAGGAACTGGAATCGTGTCGCCCCGTGGCTGCCGGAGCAGGTGTCTTTCCTAACGATGTTGGAGGACTGAGGAGGAGTCTGCTCACTGAGGGGCTCGAGGGAGGGGGGCTGGTGAGCAATGGGGATGGCGTGGGGACCTGCTTGGCTGCGGGCCTGAGGGGGACTTCTCCTGGAGAAAAAGGAGGGGTGGGAGGAGTGCTCTGAGCCTCTGGACAGGGGTCCCATCACAGGGGCTGTTATCTCGGTGGCCCCAGTGCTTTCTCTGGGACCTTCTCCCACCGTCCCAGGACCCTCCGCCACCTGAGCCGGCCCCCCAGGCAGACAGAGCCTCTGTCCTCCTGGGACAGAGGGGCCAAGGGAGAAACTCCAGCCCCGCACACCGGCCACCCGCCCCTGATACCTCTGGGCCCCTTCCCAGGCAGAAGGGGCGGGCCAGGGGCAGACGGCCCCTCCCTGACCTCCTCTCACTACGGACAGCCATAGACGTGGTAAGTGGGGGCTGAAATGGCCTCCAACTGATTTAGTTTCAGCGAGGCTCAGCGTGGGCACCCCCAGGACACCAAAGAGCCTCGGGACGCTATCCGTCTGGCAGGGGGCCTATCGGGGTGGCGGGATCTACCTGCCACCCCTGGAGACTGTGAAGAGGAAGGAGACAAGGGACCCTCGGGGACGGGCACTGAGCCGTAGCAGGTCAGGGCTCCTGGTACCACTTTGGCTGTCCCTCAAGCCAAGCACTGCCAGGGCAGGTTGGCTGTCGGGGTGGGGGGGGGGACAGGGCGGGCAGAACTATAGGAAGGAGGCCGTTCACTTGGCTCGAGGGCTCCCCGCTCTCAGCCATGAATCAGATAAAGGCCCTGCCTCTCCCGCTTGTATTCCAGGGGCATCAGTCCCCCGCCACACACACAGATAAACCAGGGGTTGTGGAGACTCAGGCCAGTGCCTCTCACACTTAGGGAGCATAGCCTCACCTGGAGCTTTGTAAACTACAGATTCTGATTCACTAGGCCTGGGTCAGGGTCTGCATTCCTAACAAGCTCCCTGGAACGGCTGCTGGCCCACGGGCTATCTTTGAGGAGAGAACCTCAAACTGGGAAGTCAGGCCAAGGTCTCTGGCCAAGCCAGGGCCTGCGTTCCCACCGCTGTCCCCTTCAGGCCCTGCATTCAGAGGTATAGCTATCTTAGGAGTACTCGAGTGTGTCTGCCCTGCCCTCAGAGGGGCTCAAGCTAGTGGTTCTCAATGTCTGGTCCCCGGACCCGCAGCAGGAGCCTCCCTGGGAGCTCGTGCAAATCCTCACCCTGACCCCAGGCCCACTGAATCAGAAACTCTGGGTGGGACCTGGTAACAGGCCCTCCAGGTGATGCGGGGGCACACTCAAGTTTGCGGGACCCTGATTTACAAAGTGCTTTCATCTCCTTAAAATCTTGTTGAAGCCCACGGTCTCCCTGTGGACAGCTTGTTAAGCTGAGACGGTGGAGGGTTCACGTGGGTGAGGTTCATACCTATAAGTGGGAGAAGGTGAGTGTGGTTGGCTGCCCTCGTTCCTCAAAAATGAGAGCGAGGATGTAACATGTGGTCGTATTGCCTTATCTCTTTAAAAAAGGATAAGCCAAACACTAAAAGAAAAAATTACCTAGAGGGAGAAGTAGCCAACAGGGAGGCGGGGTGGGGGAACAGATATAAAAGGCAGACTTCTCTGAATGTGCCTGTCTCGCAGATTGACTTTGAAAGCTACGGGTCAAACATAAAATAAATCTGAACTTAGGGGAGCTTTTTATTCAAAAGGATTCTCGCCAAGGAGGAAAGAAGGGGTTATTGCCAACAGGGGGATGGAGAATATCGCAGAAGAGAGGCCGCTTTGACCCTAAGATCTGCAAGGACTCAGGGGTTTTCGTTCTGGAGGCGAGTAAACACGCCGCCTCCCATCCCACTTCCCCACCCTCGTTCTTTCCAGAAGAGAACAATTTAGAGGCCAGCGTATTGTCCAAGGGGCTGTGTGCTGGCTCAGGCTGAGGGTGGGACAGAGTTCAGGGTCTGGAGGAAGGAGACAAACGTAACCAAAGCTGGGTTGACAAGCATTTTGTTCCGACGGGCCAGTGAGGACTGACAGTTCAGCTATTCATTTAGGAGGCAAAGGGTGGGAATTTGGAGGGTCTGTATCTGGCCTTGTCCTAGGCAAACGAGGGGGACATCCATGGGTCTTATCCAAGTCATATGGAAAGGGAGGTTCTTTGCAGTGAGCTGTTTTTTTTTTTCCGGAACTCAAAAGGGTGAGGGGTTATTTCTTTAAAGTCACTGTTTTGCAATAGCCCAGGGGCTCAGGTAAAATTCAACACTGTCACCTGTAAACGCTTTAGATGATTATAAAACAAAACTAATATCTTTAAAAGCATTCCCTAAAAATCAAAAGACAAAACAAACCTATCTGGGTATGCAGTTGGTGGTGTAATCACACAGAGAACGCTCCTAAGTGACTTTGAAACCGAACAGGACCCCGTGGGGCCCTCCCAGCTCCAAAAGCCCCTCCATGGCCCCTGTTTGCAGAAAAAAGGCTTTAGTCTCCTAGGCCTTCCCCAAGCTCCAGAGAGCAGCTCAGGCAGTTAATAGGACGGAGTCGCAGGACTTTGGGTTCCCCTGAAGGGATGTAGATAACAATCTAGAACATATTTGAGTTTTTCTGCAGAAACTAAGACACCCACCCAAGGGGAGGATGGTGACTACACGCTGACCACAAGCACGCAGACCCCAGACTGGTAGGAACCAGAAGGTTGAGATTCTGGGGACATCACCCTGTTACCACCAACCAATCAGAAGAACGTCACACGCCCTGCAGCCACCACCCCAAATTTTACCTTTAAAAAGTCTTCCCTGGGATTCCCTGGTGGCGCAGTGGTTGAGAGTCCGCCTGCCGATGCAGGGGACGCGGATTCGTGCCCCGGTCCGCGAAGATCCCACATGCCGCGGATCGGCTGGGCCCGTGAGCCATGGCCGCTGAGCCTGCGCATCCGGAGCCTGTGCTCCGCAATGGGAGGGGCCACAACAGTGAGAGGCCCAAGTACGGCTGAAAAAAATAAACTAATTAATTAAAAGTCTTCCCTAAAAGCCACCGGGAATTTGGGTTTTTTGAGCACCAGCCGCCTGTCCTCTTTGCTCGGCCCCGAAGTAAACCTTTCTGTCCAGATTCTGACATTTTGGTTGTTTGGCCTCACTGTGCGTCGGGCACACAAACTTGGGCTTGACCACAGCAGGGAGTCCTGTGGGACCCAGACCGTGGCCTCCAAATACCATTTCCCACTAAAAGGACCCAGGGCTCCTGGGGAAATGGCCGACTCCAAGGCTGGGGGAGAAAATGCCCAGGAGAAACCTGGGGTATCTTGTTGTCCCAGAAAACAAGGAATTTATCAAAGACTGCTAGGGTTGTGTCCAAAGTACTCAGGAGCAACTTGAAGGAGTTCCCAGTGGCCAAATAGGGGACAACTGGAATATTAGTAAGAACGACAGATTAAAACAATCAAACATGTTGAAATCCAGGAGTTTCTAATAATATTCAATAATTTTTTTTTTAAAGAAAAACATCATCAGTCTTTTTTTTTTTTTTTAGCTGCACGGCTTGTGGAATGTTAGTTCCCCAACCAGGGATTGAACCCACGGCCTCAGCAGGGAGAGTGTGGAGTCCTAACCACTGGACCGCCAGGGAATTCCCCATCAGTCACATTTGGAGGATTCTAGAGAACTAATACATTTTTTGGAAAACTAATAAATAATGGAAAAGAATCAAGTCCCATTTATCGTCCAATAGAGTTTATGCCAGGAATGCATTGATATAGACTTTATGTCTCACATTAGCTCTCTCAGCCACCTAGAAAGGGTTGAATACTCTTATGATGCCCATTTACAAATTAGGAAACCGAGGCCTTGAGAGAGTAATTTAACCAAGCTCTCCCAGCTACATAAATAGAGGTGCTGGGACCTGAACCAGGCCATTGGGCTCCAGAACTTGTATGCTTGGCCACTGGGTCATACAACTGCTATAATGAAGACACTCTTTGCTTTGCCCAGCCAAAGGCAAAAGACTTCAGAGAGACAAAAGCTCA